CCGCCGGTGGGTATGACGGGGTGTGTGTGTTCGTGTGCGTGAGGCGTCTGCGGCTCCTCGGTCCCCGTCCTCCCCCTCCCCTGGCCCCCCTGCCTCCGCCCTGGGCGATAAACCCCGGTAACATCCATTTCCCCTGCACGGATTTCTTCCTCCGTCCCTTCCAGCTCTGTGTACGTGTCTGTTTCGGCGTGTAGAAAATCGGGGCTCAGAAAATGTTTCCTTGGCTTGCTTGCTTCCAAAAAAGAGAGAAATGTGAGGTTTCCCCCTCTGCTCTTCTGAAGCCAGTGCTGCAGTGTTCTAGATAGAGGATGGTGTGCGTAGAAATATGCTGGTGAGGTATGCGACAAAAAAAGGCTTAGGTGTTTTTTGCGTGTGTTAGGATGCATGTGTATGGGGATCTGACTGAGAAGCTAATTTGTTTGTTTGAGGTTGGATTTTTGTGTGTGCTTTTTGTTTATTTGCTTTTGATTGCATATAGGTGACATGGAATGCTGAATATCGTTGGTTTGTGCATCATGTTATTACTGTTATTGTTACATTGCTCGTTGATTGACTGTATCTTGAAATTTTAATGAGGAAGGATACAGGAGTTCTTCTGAAAAGCTGCCACCGAAGAAAAGGGCTCTTGTCAAAGTTGAAAGAGAGAGGTAGAAAACTTCCTATTATGTAAAGGGGATTGATTAGCATTCAGTGCGCATGGACTCCGAATTCAGTTTGTCTTAGGAACATGGGGAGTATTCTTAGCCTTTTGTAGATGTATATTTGGTTTTTTGTGTGTGTGTCTTTGAGAGAGAACTTAGCTATCAAAGAGGGTGTAGGGGGTAGCTACATATCCATTCAGGGTTTGTTTTTTTTTTTTCCTCTCGGAGGTTGAGAGGCATTAAAATATTTATAATCTATGACTGCATATGAAAATGTATATGCATATAAATAATGCTATTTCTGAAACCATTTTATGTGTGAAAAATGAGTCAGATCTAGCTCAATGAGTAAGCTTTTTGTTTGCTCGAGTGATTAATAAAATATTAGAATACTGCAAGCTAAATATGTAGCTTTTTATGGAAATAAACACCTTCTGCCATCTAATTTATGGCTTGCATATCTTTCTTCCTCAGACCTGCATTGGAATGAAACGGCAGGCGGTATAGAGGGAGTACTGGCAGATGAAGAGAATACATTTCAACAGAATAAAAGCAGTAACAGTAAAAATAACAGCAATGCAATCCAGAAAGAAATCACACTGCCTTCAAGACTAATCTATTACATCAACAGAGACTCTGAAACCCCTTACCATATCCTGGATACTAGGGCAAGGCACCAGCAGAAACATGACAAGGTAGGGTAAAAAGAGGCTCATCTGCAGAATTTTCAAAGCGGTAATACGTGACGTGGAACTGTGTTTGAAGGTTTTATTCTGTAGATCTTTGAGACTTGATGGTGGTCCTTACCACTGTTTTTAGGAATTAGAGGAGGACATGTAATTAAAGAAGAATGTAATTTCCCTTGTGTTAATTTAAAAATAATTATTTTGAATTTCAGGATGGTTCAGAAGCTGAACTGTAGATAAAATGAATGGGAATTATGCAAAGTTGACTTGCCTGATCAGCGTAGATTCTGGTGTCTTGACTTATGGTATACCATCATCAACAAAATGCTTCTTCCAGAATAGCTCTACACTGCAGAAATGTCTGCACAGGGAGTTTCTTTAGAATCCTGAACTTACAGCATGAGTTACTTGGCTTTGAGTGTATCATGCACTACCTAATAAATGCAGTATTGGTTTCCTGCCAGTATATGACCAGTGAAGACCACTGTAAATCGTTACCAGTTTTTGTCAAATAATACCAGCATTTTCCATTTTTAATGACAAGATCTAATATTTCATTTTGTATAGATGCAGATAGTAAATTTTTTTTCTGAAATTGCATGGGATTGAACAAACTTTGGTTTTATGAAATAACTTGCTAAAGAAGTAAACCTATTCTAAACTATATCGCTTAGGAGGCACCCTTTACAATGATTCCATCCTATTTTTATAAATTTTTAGTTAAAAAATTAATTTCTTCCCACAGGTTAAAAAGGTAAAATGAAGGTAGAGATGGTTTGTATAGGAAGAGATTGCAGTGATAGAGAAGAGAGACAGCAAAGCAGATCAGTGTGTATGATATTACTGAAGGACTTAACTATAATGGAATTCCTACCTATTGAATTGCACTTCTTTTGAAATTTTAGAAAGTGAATTTATTATGCATTATATCTGCTTTTGTTGATATTGATCATGTGCCATTTCAGATGTGACATTAATATGGAGGCACTGTATAATCTTTGAAAAAAAGATGGGATAGTTGTATAGTTTTGATGTTTTAATGGGAGGAAAGGTTGCTTCCTAGCTTATTGAACCTGGATACCAGTATGTGCCTTTGGATGCATCTAAATACACCGGTATGTTATGGATGGCACAGAAAAACTGTTCGATTGTTGGAAACTGGAGCTACTTAAGAGAAGTACATTAAGCTACATTCAGAACTAATACCCCTTTAAAGTGAGACCACTCTTTTAAATAAACGCTAGGGACTTTCCGTTCCCCTCTTTGGAGAGGGGTGGGAGAAGAAAGGAATTTACAAGTCCTTGCAGAACTGCCTTTGGGAATAGCGCTTCCTCCATGTTTCTACATGAGTTTTTTCCTGGGAATCCACAGAGTATGTCCGCCAATCTCTTTACTTACCCAGCCTTGCCCACAAGAATATTGCTGCCGCTGCCTATCCTTCCTATGCCCTACCTTATATCTACCTGTTGCAGTAAAGCTGTGCAGAAATTGGTGCTGACAGAATTGGTATTGATTTCCTTGGGTATGCTTGCTGCTGAGTGTTGTGTAAAGTGGATCTCCTTTCTACTCACTGTGTCCCTTTTGGAATGCTAATGCTGCAGTTTTTCCCACAGAAGGTTCTTTAAGCTTGGGGCTTCATGGAGAGTGACATTATGTTGACTTCATTCTTCTGGCATGAAACTTCTGTTGCTTTGATCCATTTAATTGAAGGAAAGGGTTGATTATGTTCCTTGTCTGGATTGATTTTTGCATGTTTTGCTTCCAGAGCACCATAGAGGTCTCCCCCTGCCCCCAACTTGCATCTTGTCTCTTTCCTTGCATGAAGTAATTTCTTTGCCCTTCTATCTAGTTTACTAATAATATAATAACAAATATTTTAGTTATTTCGTTCTTTTAACTTTCACTGACGATGGACGGGTGGGGTGCAGGGATTTTTTAGTACTTGCTTTTGTCCTTTCCCTGAATTAAAATAAATGCTATATTGTAATAAATCCTGCTTGCAAGATTTTGCTGTCTTCCACATTGGTAATAAAAAGAAATGACAAAAATACCTCTATAGTTAGGTAAAGAAAGAAAGAAATCTATATTTAGGATTGATTCTTAGCATGTGAAAAAAGACAAATATGATGACCTTATACATACACAGTGGACAGTTGAGGAAGAAAAATACCATTTTTTTTTTTTTTTTACTGTTCTTGGAACCATACATCCTTTAACCTGTATTTTCTTGTCAGCCTTAATATACCATTTATAGGCATATGATGGGGATATACTCCCTAACTATGGATATTATTCAGTAGACCCCTTTCTGTGGAACTTCATTATAGTGGCCAGAAGAATATAAGCCATATGGATAGTTTGTGGGGTTAGGCCTGAATACCTCAGAAATGCTGAGTCACTATAAGGAGAGGGGAAGAGTAGAGGAAACTGTGTGCACGTGGGAAGAAAGAGGCAAAGCTAGAGAAATGTAATTATGTAAAATTATTTAAAATATTTTATTTTTTAAAGTCTCTTCCTAAAAGGTAAGGGTCTACAACTTTCTTCATGAAATGAAGAAGAAATGAAGGGCTGGAGCAGAAAACAGTGTACCAGAGAATCAAAAATTTAAATAATAATCTAACATCTAATTTATCTAATAAATTGCTTTCTTAGCACTGATCCTCCTTATCCCCTTTTGAACTTGGTGAAATGCCATCATAATGAGAGGGCGTATGTGATCTAAACTGTTGGTAGAACCTCTCTCATTCCTTCTTATTCTTCTAAGAAGCTTTTTTTCACTGTTGAGAAAAAGGAATGTTCACCATAGTGTTGACAAGTGGTCTATCTCCAAGGTGGACAGAGTACTAGTGTATAATCTATTTTTTCTTTGTGCTCTAAGAAAAGCATATTTTAAATATTTGGTGTCTGAAGACTCTAAAATCTTTATACCTGTTTCCTCATAGCCAAATGAAAGCTAGCTGGTTTTGAGTTCTTCTGAAGTTATTTTTAGGGTGAAATGCTCAAAAACAAGCATCTGTTTATAAAAACACACTGAAGAAGCTTACAAGAATCCTTAAACTTGCTGAAGAGGTCTGAGTCATCTGTGTTCTGCAGCTCTGTCTTTCTAAACTTCTGCAGATGGAAGTGGCGTTTTGAATGAACTGGTAATCTCTTCATTGAACCAGATGACTGCTTTGATTCATTTTTGCAGACTGCATATACAAGATTGTTAGGACCTAGCGGGAAGACTGCATGGGACAAAACTTGTCACAAGAGGCTAGGAGCAAGTCCTTATGGTGGCCAGCAGAGGGAAAAATCTCATAACACAAGATGTCATCTCAAAATAACAGGATTGCCAGAGGAACACAGTTCAGGGCAACCTTACCAAATTTTGTGTGGAAAATAGCTTAAACTAGGTGCATATGAAGGAAGACTGTATCTGCTGGACAGTTTCTAACTGTTTTTAGATTACTGAACCGTAAGTTTTCAAAAGTTGTAAAGAAGCAATGTCTTCATGCATAATTCTAAGCTATTAGTGCAATTTTGGGAAGGAGGGAGGTGTTAAGAAAACTGTTTTGCAGACCCTAATGACTGGAAAAAATAATATGTGATAGTAGTTTTGACTGTGAAGACAGTTCTACCCTCCAAAAAAATTATACTCATTTTGGGCTATTTTTATTGGGGTGAGAACTCCAGGTGCTTCTGTTCAGCTCAGCTATTTGTCATTTAAGTAAAGAAAATATTCCTGCCAGGCTGGATATTACGTTTTCTGCTATATTGCCCTGCTTTAAAGGTTGAGATACAGTGCTGTTTCAGTCCTTTATGCAACTTTGGTATGTAGTGTACGAAAGTTGAGAAGGAAAGGATCCTTAAGATGAGGGGAAAACAACTATATCACAGCCATTGCAAAGGAGGTTGTATTGAAGAAAAAGCAGGTCTGTTTTGTAAAAGATGAAAGATCATGGTTAATAATCTCTCAAGAGGTGGCATCACATGAATTCTTACTAAAATCCAGATAAAAATCCTTTGCGTTAATTATTGTCTTCCTTTCCCTTACCTATCTTAGGCCAGGTCTTCACTTCTAATCCCCATGTAATGAAAACTGCTCAAAATAATGAATGAACTTCATGTGGCTTATGTGTATGAATTTAAGGCTGTTGGAGAATCTTTGTAGTATGTCAGCTGGCTTTGCATTTTTTTTTCCTGAATTTTCTGTGGTGCGGCTTCAATTTACACTACTTGCAAATAGATGATTTTGTGTACTTTGTCTTTCTTTCTATTCTATATTGACTTTATATTAATGCTTATCTGGCTTATCTGGACTCTGCATCTTCAGCAGTTACTGACTAAAAGGAGGGTTGAAATTGGTCTTCTTATCTTTGGTTTCTGGGAGTAGAAGGCCATCTTCCTTATGCCAGCTTCTCATCAAGTAGATCTACATCTTTGTTCCCTAGCTGAAATGTGAGTCATGATATTTCTAAAACTTTTTCAATCTTTTATGATGACCTTGTGGTGTTTGTTTTTTTTTTTTGTTTTTTTTTTTAATTTATTTCTGGGTCCTCTCATGAGCTTCAAGCAATAACATGAAAGGTTTCAGTTCTTAAGTGTTGGGTAATGCAACACTTGCACTTGTTAGGCCTTGTTCTGAAATAAAAAAAATGAAGTTTATAGGTTTTCTAGCATTTGTGGGAAGCTGGGTACTGCAGGAAAGTGGTCCAAGATATGGATGCACTATTTTGTAAAGTCTGATGAACAAAACCCTGAAAAGGATATGATTTTAGAGGCCAGTGTCACTACAGATGAGTATCTAAGTATTGTCATATTGGGAGAGAAGGGTGGGTTCTGGCAACGGGAGTTAAAGGAGCAACAGTAGGATTGCTTTCAGAGGTAGGCCTGAGCCTTTGTTCACATGCCGACAACCATTCTTTCAACGAACAGTCTTCAAGGCTTGTGGTTCAAGTTTTAAGCATGAGTTTTTACATCCTACTGTGACATTTATGTATGCTGTTTCAGTATGATATGCTTTATTT